GAATAAGTAGCTCACAATCAGTTGTTGGTAACTTTTGCCTAACCAAACATTCCACTTCTTCTTTGCAAGGCTTAATCTCCATATTTGCTTTCCCCCAACATCCTCGTATAGTATCCAACTGCTTCCTCCACTATCTGCTCAGATTGGTATAATTCCTCTCCAGCTTCTTTTACCAATAACTGCAAAAAAAAAATGTTGCTATTTGTATTTTATTAAACAAAATTAATATGCAATAATGTTAATAACATTCTTTACAATGAATTACACAACTGTTTCATTAACGTATTGAAAGGAATTATTAATAATTTAAAAATACAGTTATCAACATTTTGCTGTCGATGTTTATTTATGATCGCGACATAAAGCAAGAATCCGACCGCTTGGTTCCAGTAGTCTAGTTTATCTACATCCAATAAGTTGTCGGTTGCGGTTACTGGAAAGAAGATGAGAGGAGAAGTTTTGCATGGGTCGAAGAGGTAGATGATGGATTTTACCGTAGTTATGCTAACGCAAAAATAGGTGTTATTTGTATTCCTAATACTAGGTGTTTTCAAGTCATTTTGAGCATCACAAGGCCGTTTGAAATTTTGAAGTTGCCTAGATTTCTTTCTTGCACTGGTTTTTCATTTATTAGGCGGCATCTTGAGTTGTTTCGAACGATTATGATGAAGATCAAGGGATCAAGTCTAGGAAAAGAGGTCAAATCCTAGATCGTAACATGGCCTACGTGCAAGATTGCGGTCGGGATCTCAGATCCTTAGGTCGCGATCTCAAAGAGGCAATAGACAAAGAATCACAAAAGGAATCTCAGGTGGAGTTTCACTCCTTTAGTTCGAGGACCACGAGGGAGATCGTTTTCGTGAACTCCAGCCCAAGATCTCTCCTCCAGAACAACCAAAGGTGACATCATATTGAGACCATGACCTAGTTCTCAAGATCGCGGCCACGAATTCCCCAAAATTGACCACGATCTTCTCCGTTTCCATAGAAATCTATAAATAGAAGGCAACTCAATTGTTCAAGAGAATTTTTTTGGAAATTTGGAAACCTTGGATAGAGAAAGAAGAGAGAGAAGTGAGTTTCCAAGTGAATAAGTGAGAAGAATAGAAGATGGAGGCTTGAAGAATGATTTTCCCATCCAATTGGAAATCCTTGAGAATGGTTTTCTACTACCTTTCTATTATTTTTCTCCCCCCTAGATAGTGTAGTTCTAAAGGCACTTGAGACTTGGTCACTCAAACCCTAACTTTGGGTTTATGGGTGGTTATTAATCTATGGTATAATTGTATTCAATAAGAGTTATTAATGCTTCTATTCATGGTTTGGATGCATAAGATTGTATGTTACATGTGTTTGTCATAGGTCAATTCACGTGGGTATATTTTGCATGTGTTCTTCCGTTATTAGAGAATTGAGAGGCTTAGTATTAGGCAGAGGTGACAATCCCCCTTTGCTAAGTGCTCATATTTTGATACTTATTGGGTAAGTACAAGACAATTGTCTTACTTGATTTGTGTGTTGAAGGGTCTAACTCGTTAGAGGAGGCAGAGCTTACCTCTAGTCAAGAAAGTAGGTTGAGGTGACATCGGGCTAGTGGACATTGCTAGAAGGGGGATTGAAAGATATGACCATTGCACGGAATCCCATATTAGTGATCTTCTCACCACAATTGCCATAGACATATCTACCGTATGGTTGCATGTTATGCTTGTCAGTTAGGGTGAGTGAGGCATGTCCCAAATATCATTTTTTATCCTGATTTCTTTCTCATGGTTCTATCTGTCCTAGTATCGAACAAACAACCTAGAGATTTGATTAGATAACAACCGACATTACAAGAGTAAGCTATGCTATTGAGGCCAGCGTAATATGACCTCGATGGTCACACTTTACTACTTCGCTAACTTAGGGTATTCTTGTCCTAAGTTGGGGTAGATAGACTTGAGACAAGCGAGCAATTATATTGAGCTTGACACGAGAACCAAGTTGCCAAAGAGAAGTTTGTTGTGGGTTGAAGAGGTAGAGAACAGATCTAACCACTAACATAATTCATTAAGGGTATTATATAGTAACTACCCACTCATAGGAGCAACTCTCTTCCTCCCTTCGTCTCCTGTGTTTGGGTTTCATATGAAAATTACATCTTGATACCTAAACTTAATAGTTTTCAAGATTTAGTATCCAAATTTTTTTTTACATGTCATAGAAATTTTGATGGAAAATTACATTTTAGCACCTAAAATTTCTATATCTTACAACGGATACCTTTTTTTTAATTTATAGGTCCAAGTTTATGAGATTTCTTGTTGGTTTTAAGAAACTTGTAGCTTGCTTTATGAGATTTCTGGTATGTTTTAACACTATGTTTGGAAGACGCGGGTAAGGGGAGGGGGTATTCATTTGAGGGGTAAACGAAAATATCGAGAAATATACCATTGTTTGGAAATTTTGAATAGCGTTGTGGGTGGGTAAGGGGGTAAAGTTACTATTTTGGATTACCCCCAAATTGGGATGCAAGAGAACGAAGGAAGGAGAGAGGGAGAGAGAGAGATTATTATTATTTTTAATTATTATTATTACTTTTTTTATCATAGTTACTATTAATGTAGACGTCATTTGAGGGTCACTGTTTGACTCTGAGAGGAAGTTTGTCAAGTTTCGTCTAGTCAAATTGAGATATCTTTGTTGACTCGAATTTGCATTGAAAATTAGATAAAAGAGATGTATTGTTTAAACCCGATTTGATATGTTAGTTTCACATCGGTTTAACCACCATGTTGACAAAATCAATGCTTGAGCGGAAGACATGAGCTAGCTATATGTCTTGGCCACGGGTTGGGCTTCGAGTTTCGAGATTGATCGAGCAATGATTCTTACAATTGTTATAATTAACTACTATTTAAGTTTTTTTATCTTAATAATTATTTTTATTAAAGTATATTTATGATTATTATATTACAAATTTTATTTTTTTTATTTCGTGATAATGTTTTACAAATTTATTTTATAATAGTATTACTTACTTTTCACCTTTTTTTTACAAAAGATAATCATATATATATATATTAATCAGAAAAATTCATAATTACATCATGGAATTTAACTAGGCCATAAAATCAAAGAAGCGACTCAGAGTCGGGTACAATTGAAAGGCCCTTCTAGTCATCAAGTGGGTTACCCTATTACTACACTGACCTATGAATCGCACATTAAGCCCGCTATGAGTCTCAAAATAATGCACGACCTCCTCCAGAAGGACTCCAATTCGACTATACGTGATCTTAGTTGCGCCATCCCACTACCAGACCACCGAGCTAGGGTGGACAACACCCAATGCTTGTACTAGTGGGACAGGCAACCGATGAGCACAATCTCTAGGAAAACTTACCCACTCCTAATATTGTTGGTGGAACTGTTGCATTAAAGATGAGATCCCAAATTGTTTGCCCTTAAAGACAACCTAGTTGCGTGACCGCCAGATCCAATACCTGCCATAAACAGATGGGGTTGATGTATGAGCAACATGAACTTCTTCACGAAGAGCAGGAAAGTATGACAAGCCAACCCTTGACCAAGATATTCAAATTCCAAATAATCACACAAAGCCCTGGCCACTGGGCAATCAAGAAACAAATGTTCTATTATTTCTGATTCTGCCCAACAAACCGGACATCTGTGGTGTACTTGGACATCCTTTTCTAGTAGGGCTTTCGTCGTAGGAAGGAGACAGTTAAATATCTGCCAAGCAAAAACCTTTAGCTTGGGGGGGGGGGGGGTATTGGCTTCCCACAATCAAATCCAGCTGGACATACTTTTCACTCCATTTACACCCCTACTTTTCATTCCAAACAACAGTTTTCCCATCCACTTACACCCCATGCAATTTCCACTAAACTTGCACCTCACTCGAATTTGCACCACCTAGTTGACAAATAGAGTGTGGAGAATTTGTAGTATGCTTTATGAGGTTCATATTATGTTTTAATAAACTTTGTGGTTTGCTTGATGTGTTTTATGGTATATGCTTTAGGAAACTTGCAGTCTATTTTATGAGGTCTCTAGTCTGCTTTAAGATACTTGTGGTATACTTTAATGAACTTGTGATATGATTTATGATGTTTTTTGTATGCTTTAGGGAACTTGTGGTATGGTTTATGAAGTTTCTTGTCTGCTTTCAGAAATTTGCGGTATGCTTTAATAAATTTGTGATCTACTTTAATAAACTTGTGGCATACTTTATGAGGTTCTGGTATGCTTCATGGAACTTATAGTATGCTTTATGAGGTTTCTATTATGTCTTAAGAAACTTGTGGTATGCTTTATGAGGTTGCTTATATGGTTTAAGAAACTAGTGGTCTTCGATGAGGTTACTGGTATGTTTTATGAATTTTGTGGCAGTGATGTTCTTGTATGTTTTATAAGCTTTCTGATCTACTTTATGCTATATGTGGTGTAGTTTGTTGTATTTCGTTTCTGTGGTTTGTAGTATGCTTCATGATACTTGTGGTGAAGGCATGACGGAGTACCGCCACCCACATGTGTCCCCCCTCCCTTAATTTTTAATAATGAAAAGCGTGTCACTTCCTTTACAAATTCTCATTAATTGTGGTCAACCCATTAAAATCATTTTTCTTATATTAAAAACGAAATGTTTTGTTGGAGCTAGTATTAGCACCATGGTAATAAATTTAGTTTTAGCACCATAACCTCTGTCGAGCACAATCGCCGAATTTTGTTTTGTATTTTATTTTAATTAAATTAGAATACCAGAATTGCCCTTTTACAGTTTGTTCCCTTCCCTTTTATTCTTTTAATAATAATTAATAAATTGGCTTAGGGTCCAATTCGAACCGGCGTAGCACAACAATTATTATGTTAATTATCTCCTTCATTAAATGGTCGTACTATGTACTATGCATGGCCTGATTGCTTCTCGTCGGTGTTATTCCATGGAGTGTAGATCAGCAGATTTAAAAAGACGTTTTCAATAAACAGAGTTAGGTAGCTGGCTGGGATTAGGTGAGGTAAGCAAAATCCATAAATAACTTTCCATTTCCTGCCCAAGTTGAGTACTGTGGGGAAGGCCACCACAAAAGGAGAAGAGTGAAGAATAACACAGCAATGTGCAATGAATGAACGAATGAGGCGATTGGCGGGACTAATAGCAGGACAGCTGAGGAGAGAGCAATAAATGGAAAGAAAGCATCTCAACCATCATCAAAGGAGTTGATGATGGTGGATGATGATATTTTGATAAGAACAGAACAGTGTAATAAGCGACAAACACAAGGCCGAAAGATAGAAAACTTCCCAGCTCATTTTCATTCTAAAAACTGAAGCTTTTCTTACTGCTATTTTTGCATCACATACACAGGTACAGTGGACCAGACATCACATAACTGTTACTGTTCATCGGCATTACAACTACTTTCATTAAATGCCCTCTCTCTCTCTTTCGGTCGTCCAGCAGCCCTTCTTCAGTTCATCATCTTCACCGAGTTTGGCTTTCTCTCCCATTACCCTTTTCCTCTCTTGCTGCTGCTGCTGCTCTGTTTTCTAAGTCCTCTGTTTTACCTTGCATGTGTTCAGGTTTGGCTATGCTCTGTTTCTAAGTGCTCTGTTTTACCTTGCTTGTGTTCAGGTTTTTTTGCTACGAGTGCTCTGTTTTTCTTTTCCATTTCCTTGCTTTTACCCCCTTTAATTAGGCCTGAGAAATGGCCACTCACACTCTTTTGGCCTGTACGGATACTATGGTTCACACAGAAGAACAAAAATGAAAAAAAAAAAATTTTCCATGATCTTCTGGTTGGGCCCTTGAAACCTGCCATTTTTTCTCCTGTGTACTTAAGGGTTTGTTCTGTTATTGTATGGAGAAAGTATTGGCAGTTGTATATCAATGTTAGTAGCCTTCTTCTCTCTTCTGGTTGGCTTGGCCATGATTTAATCCCATCATTTTCATTGTTGTCATAAACTTGGGTTAGTCAAATTTCATTGGTTTCCCCTCCCCATTGTGTTTGACCTCTTCACAGAATTCAATTCCCACGGCACCATCAGGTTGAGACCTTTCTCTTCCTGTTTTTGGGATAAAAAAATTTACAGTATTTCCAGGTTTCCAAAACTTCACCTTTCTTTGCTTTTCTTAACCATAATCTGCTTACCTCAACCCAGAAAGGCAAGTTCTTTTACTACCCAGTAAGTAAAGTTTGCATTTTCTTCTCTGCAACTGCATGCTTTTCTTCTCCGTTACCCTTTTTCCACATTCGACATTGTTTTCACATGGTGGGCAATCACTCAGTGCTAAAGTCGTGGTGTTGATGGCTAGTTTCGCATTTGACCGCCAACTCTGTAGAATTTAACAAACGGTGATGGCTATTTATTAGAGTCTGAAGAAAGCTCCTCGTCATTCTGTGAAATTCACTCTCCTACGTGGTTGGGTTTTCAGTGCAGAGAGGGGCCTTGGTGTAGAAATAAATGATGAAGGTTTTTGCAGCTGCGGTGGAGGAAGGCAAAGCAGGGGAAAACGGGAAACCATCAGTTGGTCCTGTTTACCGTAATCTGCTGTCTAAGAATGAATTCCCTCCTCCGGATCCCGACATCTCCACTGCTTGGGATCTTTTCAGGTTCTCTCTCTGTCCTAGTGAACGTGAAGAATCATGTATCAGTCGATTTTGGCTTTAAACAGAACTTCCACTTTGTGCAGTGTGTCAGTCAAGAAATACCCTGACAATAGAATGCTAGGATGGCGAGAATTCGTTAATGGAAAGGTAACCGAAAAGGAAAAGAATCCCCGTGTTCAGAAATTCAGACAGACTAATCTTGGTTTTGGAAGTAACTAAACTTTTGATTGTTGTTGTTGTTTGTGGAAGTATGGGGGTTATGTGTGGAAGACTTATAAGCAAGTGAATGAGGAAGTTTTGCGTATTGGTTCTGCATTGAGAGCATCTGGGGCTGAACCGGTAACTAACGATTCATTCACATTCTACTAACAAGAAAGATCGGATTTTTAAAAAAGCTTACTGATTTTTCTTGTATGAAACAGGGCTGCCGGATTGGTGTTTATGGCGCAAACTGCCCCGAATGGACTGTCGCAATGGAGGTAAGTATGGTCGTGTGACTATGAAATCTGATTCGACATTGCCTGTCTCTTTATATCTTCCTTATGAACATCTTCTAAGTTACATTTTCGAATTGGTTGCAGGCTTGTGCTGCTCACAGTTTGGTCTGTGTACCTCTCTATGATACTCTTGGTAAACTCCGGCAGCCATTCATACCTTCTCCTTGCCTTCTTCTGCATTTTGGCAACTGAATCTTGGAGATTTGGTTAATAATGTATGTTAAATGGGGGCACGAGTGCAGGTCCCAACGCTGTCAACTTTATAATAGACCATGCAGAGGTGGATTTCGTTTTCGTGCAAGACAAGAAAGTGAAAGAAGTAAGCCTGTCGCTTACCATTGATTATAATGTTCATCAAGATGAAGAAGAAGAAAATAAACACTGTTGTAACATTGGATTAGTATGTTAATTTTGCAGCTGCTGAACCCTAGTTGCAATGCTGCTGGACGTCTTAAAGCAGTCATTTGCTTCACTTCCCTAGCGAATGAGGTCAAGGATCGAGCAGCTGAACTTGGGATGAAAGCCTACTCCTGGCAGGAGTTTCTAGTAATGGTATAGTTAGCTGCTAAAGAAAGCCCATTTACAAATATCTTTTTTTTTTTCCAATTCTTTCTGTCCCATTCAATGAAGAATGGTTTCATTCTACTGGTGTTTTCATTAAGGGGGAAGAGAATCAGACGGAGATAGTACCACCACAGCCATTCAACATTTGTACGATTATGTACACCAGTGGTACGAGTGGAGATCCGAAAGGTGTTGTGCTGACACATGAAATAGTTGCAAGCTTCGTAAGGGGTATGGATTTGTTCATGGGACAGTTTGAAGACAAGGTAAATTAAGACGGGGAACAAGCGACCAAATCATTTGTATGTCTCTCAATTTTTGGTAAAGTAAGAGATTTCTGATTCTGGGTTCTTGAGCATGTAGATGACTGTTGATGATGTGTACTTATCGTTCCTACCGCTTGCACATATCCTGGACCGAGTGATCGAGGAGTACTTCTTCAGCAAAGGTGCTTCAGTTGGATACTACCATGGGGTAATAATGGTGCTTCTGGTTTTGAGATATGCACATTTCACACTTCATTGTTTGTGAATTTGTAATTTTGTTTTGTTTTCTTCAACTGTTTGAAGGATTTAAATGCGTTGAGAGACGATTTGATGGAGCTGAAGCCGACATTTTTAGCTGGCGTGCCTCGAGTCTTCGAAAAGATACATGAAGGCATGCAAGAATGTCTTTGACTGTCATTGTGAGTACTGTGTAAGTATATCAGACTGCTGTAGGTTAACATCTCCCCTTGGTCTGCAATTCAGGTATAGTGAAAGCATTAGACGAACTTAATCCAATCCGAAGGCGGGTTTTCGATTTTCTCTACAAATAGTAAGTGTGGCATTCTTCTGAATCCCAACCAAAGGTACTTGGACACAGGCTGCTGACATCTCCTAATCATTTTGCACAATTAATAATGTAGCAAGCTTGGCTGGATGAACCTGGGTTACAAGCAGAAGAACTCCTCGCCATTGGCTGATCTATTGGCCTTTAGAAAGGTTTGTCCTTCCACTGAAACACAAGCTTTAGTGATAGTCTTTGCAGTGCTCCCGATATTATTGGCAATGTGTGTATCTTCTGGTGTTTCTCTTTGCAGGTGAAGGCAAAACTAGGAGGCAGGCTTCGTTTAATCGTATCAGGAGGAGCACCACTGAGCTCTGAAGTAGAAGAATTCTTGCGGGTCACTTGCTGCGCCTTTGTACTCCAAGGATATGGTAATACTAGTTAAATAAGATTGGACCTTCCTTAATGTTGACATGATAATTCCATGAAACCACAAGTTAATACTAACAAGTGTTCTGTTTCTTGTATTGCAGGATTGACAGAATGTTGTGGACCAGCAACACTAGGCTTCCCAGATGAGATGTGTATGATGGGAGCGGTGGGAGCTCCAGCAGTATACACCGAGGTACGACTCGAGGAAGTACCCGACATGGGCTACAACCCACTTGGGGAGCCGCCTTGTGGTGAGATCTGCGTGAAAGGGAAAACATTGTTTGCTGGTTACTACAAGAACCCTCAACTCACTACCGAATCCATTCAGGATGGCTGGTTCCACACAGGTTTTTTCTTGGTTCATTAATGCCTTGCTTACTTAATTAGTTACTATAATTCACACACAAAAAAGCCAAACATCCCCATATTTGTGCTTGCTTGTTTACTTATTCAGGTGACATTGGGCAAATACTTCCGAATGGAGTGATCAAAGTGATTGACAGGAAGAAGAACCTAATAAAGCTGTCACAAGGAGAGTACATTGCTCTAGAGCATTTGGAGAACGTGTTTGGGATTACCCCCATTGTCGACGATGTATGCGACACATGATGCATCCAAGAACCCTAAACCTTTTGTTGTTCCCAGGTTAATGGTGTTGCTGTGTTTTGTTTGTTGCTTGTAGATATGGGTATATGGAGACAGCTTTAAACCAACTCTAGTTGCAGTTGTTGTGCTGCACGAAGAGAATACTATGAAATGGGCTAGTTCAAATGGCTACAAGGGTTCGTTCCCTGAGATTTGTTGTCTAGAACAGCTAAGGCAGCACGTTTTGCTGGAGCTCAAGTCGACTGGTGAGAGAAATAAGGTACAGAATTCTGTTCCTGTGAATCGAAATGTAGGCTGATGCTATATAGTAATATACACTAACCTTTGTTTTGTTTTGGATTCTGCTATGAATGAAGCTGAGGGGGTTTGAGTACATAAAGGGGGTGATATTGGAATCTAAGCCATTTGACATTGAGAAAGACCTGGTCACTGCCACTCTCAAGAAGAAAAGAAACAAGCTGCTCAAGTATTACCAGGTAAACGAATTGGAACTTGGTTTGTTTGTATGATATACACCTTTGTTGGTTTAGTTTTTGTTTTCTGAAATAGGGTTTCTTCTTCTTCTTCTTCTTAACAGGCGGAAATCGATGGACTGTACCAGAAATCGGGAGCAAAACGAGGGCATTAAACAGTAGTCCAGACGAAGAATGGTGGATGAAGGTGTTTCTTGTATTATTTTTAAGTTATTATGATTAATAAATCTAGTGATCTTGATGACTTTGTATAGTAAGGGTTACTTCAAGTTCTAATACGATGGAATATATGGTGAGTACCATGAATGCGATGAAGGTATATTTGATTATGAGTAATGACATTTTAATTACGACATATGCTTTGCTTATGGATGTGGTATCCATTTCTCCTGTAACTCTGTAAGCTACTGTTACTGGTTTCACTCTTAGTTAGGAAGGAGAGAGACGGTTGAGAATGGTAAATCGAACCCGGTTTGGGTACTATTATGTTTATCAATTGGCATAACTATTAGAGATATCAGTTGGTTGGTGGTTAAGTTTAGAATTTTATAAGGTTTTTCAATATTTTCTATAAATATGTACTTTGGTCTTCATTCAAATCAATAAAAAAATTACTAATGGACTCAATATTCACATGTTTTGACCGGCCTATTGAAATACCGAATTATATTCAAGTTATGATGAAACATGAATTTGATATTTTATTTATAGAACTTATACCAGAAACTCAATATAATAATTAATTCCACAATGTGTTAATACAAAGTGGAATAAAAATAAAAGGTCTACAAGAAATTAGTGGGCAGCCTATTTTATTTATTATTCTCATTTCCCTCATCTTTCGACCACTACACTTAAAGTTGACTAACAATTCTTCTAAATTTCATAATTTTCATATGAATAATATTATGGTTAGTTTCTTTTTCCCCTATCTTTCCATATTTTTCTTTACTTTCCTTCCTCATGTCGTGCCAGCACTAGTGTAGCCATATTTTTTATAACCGGTTAAGATGAATGGGTTGTGATATATTGTGTGTGTCTGGTTTAGCTAATTATTTCATTAATAAAACATAAAGAAATAAAAAATTGAAAAACAAAAATGAGTCACTACATTCTCTTTCACTCATTTGTCCTTCTAGGTAAACCAAGACCAACACCTCTGTCGCAGCCATCCACCACCATCATCGTTGTTGTCTATGATCAACCATCACCACCAAAATCATGAACCCTTAGTCAGTCAAAATCACCATCGTCATCAGCCTCGCAGTTGCCTTCTAGTCATCGCCAACATCCTATCTACCGTGGCAATCCACAATCAGCATTGCCGTTGTCGGCAATCGGCCATTACTGCTAAATCCTGAATCCCTTACAGTCAATTTCAGCATAGTCATCAACCTAGTTGCCTCTGCCCTCGTTTAAACCGCCACCGATCTAATTTACCTAGATCCCGACACCCTCGAAATCACCATCACTCTAATTCGGGCTCATCACCTCTCTAATGTCGTCGATTTAATTTCCCCCATCGATTTCAATATGTCCATGAGTACTCAAATCACGAACCACCTTCAGACCGTCATCAACCCCGCCCCGGCTGGCCGGTCATTCCCAATTTACCTACCGTGGCAATTGACCACCATCATTGTCGTTGTTCAGCCATCACCAGTTAGTCGAAATATCCATCGTCACCAATAGGATGATGAGAAGTATAAAATAAACAATAAACAAATATTTTTTTGTAATTAATAAACAATACTATTTTTTCAGATCAGTAATAGACATATAAAAATAAATAGGTGCAACAATCAACCTACTCCCCCCACCCCTTCCATTCTCTCCCTACACTTTCTTCCTATTTCTCCTTCCCTACTTTATTTTCCTTTATCTACATTTCATTCTCAATATTTCTCATACTTTCTCATACACACTCAACTTTTTCACATTAACAGGAAATGTTAGTGTATGATGGAGAATATTAAAGTATTGCAGAGAATATTGGAGAACTTTGGGAATATTAGAGAATATTGAGGAATGATGGAGAAATGTTGGGGAATAACAAATAATGTTTTGGATAATTGGCGTAAGACAAGGAATTCAACTACGGACTCCCCCTCCTCTCAATACAAGTCACTTGCAACAACTTCGGGCAACACCAAACTTTAAGAATACACTCTCTCTACACCTTCTCTCTAAAAAATCTTATCTTTCTCCCTCTTTATCTCCCAAACGGGTTAAATCTCTAAACACTGATGGAACACACTCTCAATTTGGGAGAAATAGGGTTTCTTTTTCTTAACAGGCTGAAATCGATGACATGTACCAAAAATCGGGGGCACAACATGAGCATTAAACAATAGTCCAGAAGAAGAATGGTGGATGAAGAAGTTGTTTCTTGTACTATTTTTAATCTATTATAATTAATAAGTCCAGTGATCCTCATACCTTTGTATAGTAAGGGTTACTTCAAGTTATAATGTTATGCAATATGTAGAGTATATGGTAATGGTGATTGCCATGAACGTAGTGAAGGTATATGTAGAGTCCAGATCCTTCTGTTGATACCAATTTGGGATTTTTGGATTTAGGGTTTGTATTTTATAGTGACGATTAATTATGTACGGAAATGAAGGGAAATGAAAAGAGTAGTTCTGGATGGGGTTGCTGGATTAGGGTCGAGTGTGGGACATAGCTACAGGAGAAGCATGCGGTACTACACATGGGAGGAGAAGGGGTTGGTAGAGACTCTAGAGAGAGGTCTGTGATTTTTTTGTCTCAATGAGGGAGATCGAGATACATACGAAGAACATCGAAACGGGTCAATTGTGGTTGAACCATGATTGACGGAATTGAGATTATTTATAACAGAAGGGCAATGTTGATAACTTGGTTATTATAGGAGGACAAATTTGATGTGATACATAGTAGAGGGGAAAGTTTGAGAAATAATCATAATAGAGGGGCAATTTATACTATTAACCCTTAGTTTTATCATCTCCAGTTACTCCAATTATGTAGATACTAGTTTTATTTGTTAAAGCTGGATGAGGTCGGTTGGTCTTATCCATAAAATGGAGTTCCAACCACGGGCTTAGTTCGGATGTTTGTTTTGGCCACCAGCTGAAAGGTGAACTATTGGCATCCGATCAGAACGATTAATCGCTCCAATATGACAAACTGGCCAGCCGATGTTTGTTTGGCCACCGGTTGAGAGGCGAACTATCGGTACCCGGTCAGAACAATTAATCGCTCCAATAGGACAAACTGGCTAGCCGACTCGAAGCTCAAGAAAAGCAATTTAAAAATTGTAGGGCGTGGGTTTCAAACTCATCGCCTTTTGGTCACCAAAACTCACCACTTACCAATTGAGCTATCATTGCTTTTGTGCAATAAGATGCCATTCACCTTTTCATTATAAACTGATGAATTGCATGTTTGGTCACTCAATTTATTAATTTTTTTCATGTTTGCCACGCGAAAATTCTTACTAGTCACTGACTTTAACCTTTTGTTTTTATCGTCTGTCACTTGTAGTCCAATTCCATTAAATTCATCCGAGATGGCAGTCAACTACAAACTTTTAACGTTAAATAGCTGTCGTGTCACCTAAAAATAATAAATTAAGTATTTTAATTTTCCACCTAATCACCGGAAAAATGTTCCCCACCTAAAGCGTTGATCGTTCTGGATTGAAACAACCCACCGTCCTGCGTGGTCACTAGACAACCATACTCACTGCTCCACCCTGCCCACAGCTACCTAGCTCCGTCAAAGAGTTCGAGAGCATCCCCACCACCCAAATCCCTTGGATTTTGTTCCCAATATTACCACCCAAAAACTAAAAAAATTCAAAAATATCACACTAATCACCCTTTCACAAGGACCACGTCCCCCCATGGCGGTTGAAACGAGGACCACTTGGGGGTGTTGCAGTTTTCTTTTCCGCCGCCTGAAAACTGCGTGTGGTCACTGCGGTTAGATTGACCTGCAACACCTCAGGGATCTCAGCCAAACCGTGGCGCTCACTCGAGTTTTCATTTCAAATGCGAAAATCGCTGCACCCCTCACATTCCGTCGTCTATAAGTTTTTTTCCCAATGAAAGCGCGCAAGCCGCAACCAGTCGTCCCAAAGAACGTCGATTGCTACCCCGTGCAAGCAATTTTTTTATTTCTCCAAACTTTGGACGACCATTACTTTGCGCTCCGCAATCCCAACGTCACAATTTTTTTATTTCGCATAACTTTTTAAGGACTACAACTTTTATCATAGCCATATCTTCAGAATGTATGTGGATTTGTGAAAAGTGAAGTGAAGTTATTCCCAAAATCCCTTATATCCAAAAATGTTTTGAAAATTTCTTCCTAGTAAAACTTGTATTCCTTGAAAATTTATGCGGAATAAAATAAATTGACGATCAGGTGAGGACTACATCGCTTTGATCGACTTTGTTGGTTTGCTCAAGAATTCTAACTTAAACACTAAATAAAAATATCTTATAGGCATTCACAAAAAAAAATTATAGGGAGCTGACCATGGGGGGTGCGGCGGTTTCCGCATTTGAAATACAAATCGTGCTGACCTGTCTTTCAACATGATACAGACAAACAACACCATATCTATGTCATCAGGAGGCTGGACCATTGACTAGAACAGCTTCTTAGACACAGGCTTTGCAAGCTCGATCAACCTATAAAGACCAAACCAGGTCAAATAGAGTTTGACGAGTTGATCAGCCCGACTGTCACGACGAGATATAACCCGTCGGTGCGCAGAATCAGTGGTTCTGTCTAGGTCAGCCAGAGAACCGTGACTACCCCCTACCGTTATTTCACAAAATGAAAACCACAACACCCCCAACGGTCATTTTGTAAACCGCAATAGGGGATGTTGTCCTTGTGAAATGGTGGTGGATGAAATTTTTTGAGAAATGCTGTTGTTTTTGGAATTTTTTAGATTTTTGGGTGGTATATTGGGGAAAAATCCATATCTCTCCCCTCGATTCTGATCGACATAATGAATAACATAAAAACAACCAACCAACGATTTCTAAAATTGATGGTTCTAAGAGTTGGAAAGACGAGGATTTTGATTTCGACTTCCTTGTCGCTAGCTCAAACCACATAGCTTGGAATTGATTCTTATAGATCAAGCTTACATAAGAATTGGCAAAAAGCAAACTGGCGGCAATAAATTGTACGTAGACAATAATTGTCTATGAAAACAAACATTTGGCCTCCATTTCTACTTCCCCTTATGTTTCCTCCCGTCAATCAATCTCGTCATTTCTGTACTCGATTTCGCTGGTTTCCCTCCTCCTCGCATGTCCCGTTATTCTTTCTTCGCACTAGCTAAATGGCCCGCGCCTCGGGACGCATATCCTTTTGTATGGTAGTATGTACATGTTTTTAGTTAAAGATCACACTATAATGACTATATCATGATGTGGGTCAAAATACAATTTGTTCTACTTTGTAGTATTGAATGTTTCATTAATCCTTATTCTTAATGTGTTGAATGTAGAGCTCATTAGTCATTATTCGTATTTGGCGCATAAAATTTGAAGAAAGGTGGCGCACTCGACAGTCAATATAGTTTCATTAGTTAGCTCCGGATGAAAGGAGAATGGGGTATTAAGAAAAGGGATTTCCCAAGGATCTAAAAACTCAATCCCTTTTGAGGGCCAAATAACTCTGATCTCAACCGTAGGTGCCAAACAAGAATGAAAAGAAGCCCAAAAAATCCATGGAGTTGTTTAAACCAATATTGTAAATTACGAAGTAGTCGAAGTGAAACAAAAAATATACAAGATATATGAAAAGGAATGGGTGGTACGTTCTTCTTAATTGTTGATTTTCTTGTGTGATGTCCTCCACTACAAAACATGAGGGAAGCTAGGAATAAGTTAAGGTAATAGAAGATAAGTTATACTTAGTGAACATGACATTTAGGAATTGATTTATTTATGTGAAAACTTAAAAATGGCTGTTGTGTTCTCTAAAGTTAGGTAACATGAAGTGTTATTGATGCTTGTAATTTCTTCCATTTAAACTCGCTTTTATATCTTTTTGAAAAAGTTTGGTTGATTTCCTTTGTAATGCAAAGTTAGGTCTGAATTGGTCGTGATCAAAATCGATGTTGTATGCATTAGAAATAGTAGTGTTAGTAAATAATTTACGCAAAGAAAATGATATTGTTACTTTTCGTATTATGTAACGGTAGATCATTACTAGTGCATGATTAAGCTGGGTCGTTGATATTAACAAACCTTTCTTCGTAAACAATATTTCAGGTCTAGTTTTGTGGAACTTCTCCATCGTTCTCAATCAATATGTGCATACCATCAGTTGATCGAACTCAGGAAACTACTACATATAGTTGTCCATAACTGATGGCCGGCTTAGGTAAGTAAACTCTAATTATATCATAGAATATTTTCATGGCTCTTCTTGATTGTCATTGCATAGCTGACCCTGACTGGAAACTGTCTCCTTTTTCAAGACAAATGGTCATCGATGCTGAGTAACATTAAGTATGATTCTTAGAATAGCAATTGGAAGCTTGTCATACGATCCTCCAATGATTTTTCTCAAATAACATTGTCACCCAAATGAGTTATCATTATCCTTGTCCCACTGCAGAGGCCCATTTTGGGGTCCAGATTACGAAGAAGGATGACTCAAGTTGGGACTTTCACATGTATTTTATGCTCTGGCACGCCATTGAAGGATA